TTGGGAAATTTCTTGGCAAAAGATCACGTTGAACATTTAAAAAATTGGGAGAATAATATTAAGAGGGATCTTAAGAAGACTGGTTTTGAAAATGCGAGGTGGATGAAACTGGCTCAGGATTGTGTCTGGTGGTGCGGACGAATGTTAGTGATGTTGGAATTTGGGTACTGCTGCAACAGTTTTCATTATCTGTTCTCTAAAACTCTTTTTATATACTTATCGAACTGAAGTCCATATTTCCTGTGCCATACTTTGTATTGCAATGACCAAATGGTAATGCTGTTAAGATATTTCGAAGGGTGATTGCAGTCAACAATAGCAGTATGATTGGACGCTAGATATTCATTTCAATGAGCCAGTCCTGTTAGTCAGTGAAACTCTACATAGAACATTAATGATAATGATAATATGTTTCATTCCTTAAAATTTATTTTAAAATTCCTCTGTTTACGCAAGTTATCTCAACCCTAACATGCAAAAGTTAAGGCTGACAAGCTCACTCCGCGACAGCCTTGGAACACCATTAATTTAAGGGCCATGAGCTGTTCCGAAGGTCGAAATACGTATCTGCATGGCACGAAGACGATGTAAAGTGAGACATTCCTTTTTCCCGTTTAGCTGTTCACCGCTACTTAAGGAGCTGGGTTGTTCTCAGTTCGTTAGCCGCCAGTTTGCTAAATAAAAATGGTTTCTAACATTAAAAATGTTTGATTTTTATCCAAGTTTCCATTCTTACTACCTCCTAGGGTTCATATGTTCTTTAATTTCCTAGACATTATATCATAGAAAACAAGCCAAATTGCAGTGGTTACAAAATCTAAGCGAAATAAAATGAAATAATCTCAACAACATAAGATGCGAAACCAGCAGGAATTCCAGGAAAAAAGAGGGAATATCCGAAAGACAAAATTAATGAGCTTGCAACGAACAGTAAGAATAAGAACATTATAGACCAGTAAGTTAATTTGTCCTGTGATTAATTAATTAAATACTACGCCATGAAGATGCATGGGGGAGTGGATATATAGGTCCATGTTTTCTTGACCTCTGCACTAGTTGGAGGTAAGTGCTCAGCTTCACGACCCGGCCACGCTACCCCTAGGGAAAGAGCCCCCCTTACCCATTATATAGGGACCTGGGTGAGCCCCAGAGCCGGTCTGGAAGACGTGGAAAAGAAAAGATTCTTGACCTTACCGGGACTCGAACTCTGATCCTACAAGTCATCCATAGCCAGTCGCTATACTGACTGCGCTACCCCTGCTCCAGCGATATACATGTATATGGAGGAATAAAGAAAATGAAGAGGGTTTACCAGCCTAGCAGTAACTTAGTGAAGGATGAGAATGGTGATCCGCTTGCAGATTCCCACAACATTTTGAATAGGTGGAGGAACTACTTCTCTCAGTTATTGAATGTACATAGGGTCAGTGATGTTAGGCAGATAGAAATGCACAGAGTTGAGCCGTTAATACCCGATCCCAGCCCTTTTGAGGTTGAAATTGCTATTGAAAAATTGAAAAGGTATAAATCGCCAGGTTGTGATCAAATTCCGGCAGAACTTGTTCAAGCAGGAGGTGAAATATTACGTTCTAAGATCCACAATCTAATTATTTCTATTTGGCATAAGGAAAAATTGCCTGATCAGTCGAAGGAGTCTATTATTGTACCAGTTCACAAGAAGTGTGATACAACTGACTGTAGTAATTATCGGGGAATATCATTGTTATCAACTTCATACAAAATTTTATCCAATATTCTTCTCTCAAGGTTAAGTCCATACATAGATGAAATTATTGGGGATCATCAGTGTGGGTTTCGACGTAACAGATCAACTACAGATCAGATCTTTTGCATTCGTCAGATATTGGAGAAAAAATGGGAGTACGATGAGTAAGTACATCGGCTATTCATAGATTTCAAGAAAGCCTATGATTCAGTCAGGAAGGAAGAATTGTAAAATATTCTGATATAGTTTGGGACACCCATGAAACTAGTTAAGCTGATTAAAATGTGTTTAAACAAAACGTATAGAAAAGTCCGTATAGGTAAATATTTGTCGATCATGTTCCTATCCAGAATGATCTAAAACAGGGAGATGCTTTATCGCCACTCCTTTTCAACTTTGCTTTCGAATATGCCATTTGGAATGTCCAGGAAAACCAGGTGGAACTGAAATTAAACGAGACACATCAGCTGTTGGCCTATGCCGATGATGTGAATCTACTGGGTGATAATGTAGATACCATAAGGAAAAACACACAAACTTTAATTGACGCAAGTAAGAAGGTTGTTCTAGAAGCAAACATAGAGAAAACTAAGTATATGTTGCTGTCTCGTTACCAAAATGCAAGGCAAATTTATGACATAAATATAGGAAACAGATGTTTTGAAAATGTGGCACAGTTCAGATATTTGGGAAAGGCGATAACAAATCAAAACCTGATTCAGAGATGAACTTGGATAATGTTTGCTAATATTCAGTCCAGAACCTTTTGTCTTGTCGTCTGCTGTCCAAAAACATAAAAATTAGAATATAAAAAACTATAATTTTGCCTGTGGTTCTGTATGGGTGTGAAACTTGGTCTCTGACATTAAGGGGGGAACATAGACTGAGGGTGTGTGAGAACAGGGTGTTGAGGAAAATATTTGGACCGAAGAGGGATGAAGTGACAGGAGGTTGGAGAAGACTGCATAATGAGGAGCTTCTTAACTTGCACTCTTCTCAAAGTTTAATTAGAAAGATGAAATAAAGGAGGATGAGGTGGACAGGTCATGTAACATGATTGCATATAGGATATTGGTGGGAAAGCCAGAAGGAAAGAACCACTGGATAGACCAAGGCGTAGGTGGGTGGACAATATTAAAATGGATCTTAGAGAGATAGGATGGGATGGCATGGATTGGATTGAGCTGGCTCAGTAGAGGGACCAGTGGAGGGCTCTTGTGAACACGGTAATAAATTTTCGGGTTCCATAAAATGCTGGGAAATTCTTGAGTAACTGCACAGTTGGCGGCTTCTTAAGAAGAGTTCAGGTAGATGAAGTTAATTAGTTAGACGTTGGAATCATGGGCTCAGATTCCTCTAGAAGCTTCAATATTGTGTTGTCCTGTGTTTCCGTTTGCTGTCGTGTTAAGGTGGAGGCCTCAAGGCGTAATCGTACTAATGGGAGGGACCCTAATTCTAGATGCAACCAAACAGAAGTAGGGACACTTAATCGGAAATGTTTTTAAAACCTTATTAAAGAACTTGAAAAGGGGACGCAGGAAGAATATGCTATCCTCCGGTAACCTGAAGAAATTTCATTCATTTTCTTGATAACAGAAAAGTCTACAGAATTCGGATTTGGCTATATGTTTGGAAATTAGTTACGTAATGCTCCTCGAAACAAAGTCTTTAACAGATTTAAAATAATTGAATGCAGAAAGTACTTTGTATATAGTATATTAAAAAGACATCGATATCATCTAGTTGGAAGTCCCGGATTCAAGTCTCGTTACCAGTTCCTGAGAGGGGTCTCTGTCCAGCAGTTGCATTCAATAACAGCCAGAGCTCACAAAGTAGCAAGTCATGATAATCGTAAGGTTAACTGCCATGTTGAGTTGTTTTACCACGATGAATCATTAAACCACGTAAATTACTCAACCGACATTTTCCGCATTATGAGTTCTGTTTGTTAGTCTGTTCCAAAACGTGACTCAGTTTAACCCTCATTATATTACGACTCTCGCCTCCAGCAGAGTAACTGGTCTGAATAACTGATTAATTATTTAACCTGGTCTCCTGTTACTTCATTTAGCCTACATAAACTTTTGACATCCATTTTCGAATTTTAGAATACACTGTTTGATTTGAAACATTATATGCGATTGCTTACATCATCTTGATTGCGGGACGGATTTTCTTTGTGTCATGAGCTACACATCTGGATCTTTGACTGTGTAACTTAATTACGAATAATCCTGAAACACCTCTACACAGGTACAGTTATCATGCAGCATAATTCACATTCAAAACTCAGAAAGTATTTTTCATGACGGAATATATAACCGTTAAATGATGACCAAATGATGGTAAATGAGAACAGAATAAAATTGGGTAAATATTTAAGTAATATTCATACTTAATCGATACAGGCAACTACATTTAAATCCTAAAATGTGTGCATACAAATCGTTCAGCGTTTTATGTGAATGTCAGTAGAGCCCTGAAAATGAAAAATCAGCGTAACATAAGCATTAAAGACAAAAAGAAAACATAGGAAAATTCCGATAAATATAGTTTGGCCAAAAGGGTGTTCAGCTGGTACGATCAGAAAACTACTGAAAAGTAAATACGATCTGTTAGTGACTTCAGTCTGATAATATATTCTCATGACCTGATCTTACTAATATCTTTCCAATTCAGAATTATTCATGAAACAAAGGATACTTTGGACACTATGGTAAGAAGTAATGAATAAGACATAAAAAAAAAGTTTAAATTTTCTGCGTAAGCCAAACAAATATGTACACGATTCCCTCTTCCTCCTGCATCTCCGAGATTGGTGTTATTGTAACATCAAAATGCCTGATTTATCAGTTGGCGAATTCCACACAGGCCCAGCGACGGTTTGTACCGGAAGCACAGACACAACTTCCGTCTCTATCTTCTACTTCGGGACGCTTCAGTATTTACAGTATCTATTGATTTCAATTGAGTCTCATTCGCTTAATTGCTGAAGTAGAGTTTCATCCTTTATTTTACTTCGTAGACGATATATGCGGTTGTCGTTTTGTGCAAATGAATTCAGAAATGAACGATGAATACTTTACATATTCATATTTTCACAACTGAGTAAGTATAGAACCTTCTGGAATATCCTTTTTTAGACCAAACATTTATAGAAGGGCTGACAGATTTCATAGGGTCATTAAATCTTCTGTCACGTGGTCATTTCCCAAATTCTTAAAGCGATAACAACCCAGTTTCCCTCATGCACATACTGAAGCTGTTTACTCACTGGTATCTGGACGAATGTTCCATTGTTGAGGACCGGATATGAGTACAGCGGTACCACCGGAACACTTCCATTCTTAATGAAGATTGGTCCTTGTATTGGTGTCACAGCAGGATAATGTGCATGTTGGTAAGACGATGGTATATTTCCTACGTCGTCATCCTCGTAGGTGTAGTCATCAAAATCGTCATCATAATCAAGAACAGCGTGGAGAGATGTCTTCGTCCCAGGCTGATTGCTGTACTCGCTACCCTCTATTCTCGTGTATCCTGATGGCCGTGAAGGATATTCATCGTTCTTTGTTGAGGAGGAGGATGACTGTTGTGATGATCTAGCTGCATTGTCACTTCTGTAGTTATCGTCACTGAAATATCTTGGGGACCTCTGTTGTGGCTGCTGCTCTTGTATGGGTGGATGTCGGTTGCTATAAGGATCTTTGCTTGGTCTTCTAGGAGCTGTCGTCGTTCTTCTGTTTGGTGCTGAAGGTGGGGGAGGAACGTTGTTTCTGTAAGCTTGTTCTGATGCTCTTTGTTGGTGGTGCACAGACTGGCTGTATACTAATGAGTTGACAGCTGCAGAATTCAAACCGCTGATAGCACTTGCAGATGCTGACGCGGCTAAATATGGACCCGTAGGTGAGGCACTGTGTGTGTATGGCACACTGAAATTCATTAATGCCATTGTTGGCGAAATTCGATATTTTGGTTTTGAGAGTGGCTATTATTTTTTCGGCGGGGTGAGTTTAGGAACACGATTCTTGGTTTGTCTGCGCTATGATAATATCTTTAGTTTATGTCTCTTGAATTCTCTGGCTTTAAACGAAGTTAATATGCTGCATCGGGTGTCAGGAGACTATAATAACAATACTATCAGAGTCCTGGCAAAGTATCTTCAATATCACTTTGCTTCTTGTAAGTGAAAGAAAAAAGAAAGAAATAAGTTGACTTCAGAACTGTTTCAGTGTTAAATTGGTGGGCAGTTATCTGTGTAAATTATCACTTTGCACAATAATCAGTCAGTAGAAGCGATTCCTCTTGCGGTGGACACGCGGAGAATGAGGAGCGCCATGGTATCACACTGCACTGTACGAGGTAACGTTGGAACTCATACTACAGGTCCGCACCAGAACGACTGTCACTCGCTACTACCTCCCAGCTCCTTCCAGCTGCTGGAGAGATATGACTTGATGCATGGCCTCTACCGACAATGTAAAACTTTTGCACCATCGCCTGTTGCTGCCGCTACCGGTTACCAGACACATTGAGACAGAAAGTAACGGCTGGTAAAAGAACGGAATGGATTGGGAGACACGTATTTGAATGTTACAGAATGAAAAATGAGAGTAAGGAGTAGAGATGGATATTTGAACTAAAAAGAAACACGAATTAATAGAAGAGAGAACATTTGCGTCTCAGTTAGCTTCATGTTTTTCACTCTGTTGATACTATTACTAGGATATATAAAAATAGGTAGGTAAGTGAAGACACAGAATATAATAAGACCAAACTGTAGGTTGAAAGATAACACGGAAATATGTTTCAGAGAAAGTTTGTGTGTATGTTAAAATGAATGAAGTGGTCATTTTAGGTAGCAATGGCGGGCTTTGCGTTTGCCTTCGAGTTCCGTGACGTGAATAAAATAAAGTAATCCTTACTTCGCAGTTTGCCTGTATGAGCAACAGGAATATAGGAAATTCTTCTCCTTCGGTATAAATTCAGTATTTTACCTGGAACAAACTGGGCCCAGAAATATACCTTAATTATACGTATGTAGCTTCTAGCTTTAAATGTTACTACCTTCCACATCTAAAAACGAACAGTCATTATACTCGTACGCTATAATATTTTGTGCCAGTAATTATATATATTTAGAATAGGTTAAAAATATCTCACCTGCCGGCCGCTCTTCAACCCCCAGGAAGATTCCTGGAATTCATTTCTGTAAGAAGCCGGGTCGACCCCAGAGCCATAGAGAGGGTGGAAGTATTAAGTCAATTGAAAAATCCAATGACCTCATCGGGATTCGATCCCGCGTCCTTCCGGCTTGTAGCTTAGTGCCCCAACCAACTACGCTACTGAGTGCTACTGATATAGTATCAAATATAATTATATTTGTGAGTGATGAATTTTTAAGGTCATGGAATTGGTCGTGGCCCTTTTTAAATGACTCTGTTCTCCAGCTCATTCCCGCATGTAAAATTTTCTGCAACATGATTTGTGTAGCGTCACCTGATTTCTTGAACAATGAATGACGGAATAATCGGTTCGAATTTGCTCCGCCGTCTCTGTATTCGGCAGCCTCCTTGCCCTTATTTCAGAATAATTCTCTTTCTCTAACCCTACTTTTTCGCAAGAACCCAAAACGTGGTTGCAATAAGAACACGAGATATATGTAGGCCTATGAATTAAATTAGGTTTTAAGAGACCACTTGCAAGACATACGCAGATAAGATTCATATTAAAATTGTCTTGGATATTTATGTTGTAAAGATACGGACTGGATTCAGCTAGCTTAGGTTAGAATCAAATGACAATCTCTTGTGAGCAAGATTTTGTAGCTGTGGGTTCCATATTTTTTGACCGCCTGATTTTCTGCCAACTTTCTCAAGATTATTTCATAATATGATGTTTCGGCTGTGGGTTTATGTAATGTCTTATAGAAATATAATTTCTCTGTCTCCCAATTGGAATCTAAGGCAAGTTTTTATGATTTAGTTTTGAGAAATTTAAAGAGGTTTACCACGCGATCCGCCAAGCACTGCTTTCACACATGTTCACCGTAAATTGTGACTGAAGTTCTTTCTTGTTTTTCCTTAGTTCCTCTGGTTGAATTAGATATTTGATTGGACCATTGCCCTTGATATCAATTAACAGTAAAATTATAACACAAAACTTCGAAGCTTATCCTCAAAATTATAATATCGTACAGAAACCTTAAAATTAAGGAATATTAAATAAAACAATTTCTTGACAGAACCGGAAGCATTCAAAACGTTAAATCCAGCCAAGTTATCATCCAATAACATAAAGTTATTTGACATATCAGCCATGAAGCTGAAGTGCCCTTTTATTGTTGACTTCAATTATTAATATAGGATTTGAGGTTATCACAGTGGTGGTTATGAAGAACTGTGTCTTCTGGATTATAGCGCTTGCAGTCGCTTGAGAGTCAGCCAGTAGCGGAGAGAGATAATGAAGATATTCAATAAATCGAAACATTGGTATTTATATTATTTCTCTTTTCCGTTTGTTTGCAAATGACCCGAGAGAGCTCAGTCGGTACAGGGACACATGACCAAGGATACAGCGTTCGAATCCTGGTACAGGCAAGATATATTTTCTTCTCCATAACTTCCAGGCAGTCACTGGGGCCCACTTAGCCTCCTATACAATGGACACTGGGGGCTGTTCTCCGGGGGTAAAAAGGTCGAGGCGTGAAACCGACCACCCACCTTCGCGTAGTACCGAGGTAGAACGGTGGAAATATACCTGCAATCCCATATATACATCTTCACAGTATAGTGCTTAATTAATAAGACTGGGGAAGATTTCACCACTTACCTCTACAAAAAATAAGTTAAAAAACTGAGACATCAGTTTTCAGCTAACTAATGATGTTAATAGGAAAGTTGCTAATCCTTTCCATTTCAGATGGTTGCAATATACTTACCCACCTGCGTAATAGTTCAGTTTCTGACAGCCATTAGTCAGCTCTGTTCGTTGAACTATGAAAACGAAACGCGCATTTTGCTTACGTGTGTTGAATATAATAAACTTGCGAGATATTCCCTTACTAAAATGCTGTATAAAAAGTAATATGGGTTTGGCAATAAAATCATGTAGCCTCCTGAGTGACTGCAACAAATACTTCACAGTGCTCTAGAAATAATTTAAATGAGAACAAGTCACTTCTTGCGACATTCGTTCTCTACAGTTCTACAATTATGTTTAAGTGGATGTTGAAACTGATGCCATGTTCAGTAATTAAGCTGAACGAACAGTATGCAGCAGGGCCATTTGTTTTCCTGCTCCTTTGTGGAAAAAAGGCACTTAAGACATTTCAATGTTAGACCTAGGCGTGCATGGTAGCAGAATAGTAACTTAAGAAGTAAACTGTGTTTCAACTAGTTTCATATGCCTTTTGATTCGGAACACTAATGGGCTCTCTGAATAGTTTAATGCCTTTCGATTGGAAAAAGACCGCGAAATTTCTTGACCAGCTGAGCGACTATCAGATTTTTAAGGACGCTATTCCATAGGTATTTTAAATAATTACAGTTCTTATTCTTATTTTCTTACATTATAGTAATTGTTTTCAGCCTATGCAAGAGTTCCTCCGAAACGTCTCTTCACACAAAATGTACACGGCGCCGCATCCCAGAAGACAGCATCCTTCCTAGTCACCGCCGTGAAAACCTCAAGTCTTACAAACGTAACTCGATAAATCTTTGCATTACGCCTGAGAAGTAAGAGATAGGACTTATTCGGCTCACGAAGGCCACGAGTGCAATGGATGAATGAAAGAAAATGAATGGCAGGGAATAATACAGTACGACCTCGTACATTCCCTGGTATGTAAAATGCTAGAATGTGTACGTATATATGCATATGACGACCTACGTTCTGCCGCGTACAGGAAAAGGGAAAACCCTACTAGTCAGTCACGAAGCCACTGACTTTGCATGATTCTCTACATTGAGTGCCTAATCACAGATGTTTTCTAAACGAGAATGTAAGAAAACTTATACCTGTGGATGAACCCATGTGTGAGCAGGGTAGAAGACATCCACAGTGGCCCTGCGAGTCGTAGGAGGCGACAAAAAGGGAAGTCTCAAATCTGAGACAGTAAAATATGGTTGCAAGTCCCACGGGACTCGGGCCCGAGAATAACTGCGCTGGCGAGGCCCAGTAGCAATTGTAAAGGACAGATCCGTCTTTTTGTCAGAGAGATTGCACCACATCGACAAACCTGCAACTGTCTGACAGTAATAAAAATCGGCTCGTAAGCCCTAGATGGGCCAGACACACTGGCCGACAGTCCGTAGGTCGTATTATAAGACTCGACTCTAACGTGCCTGAGCTCTAGCCCTTAAACGAATGGGTGATAAATTTCTAAGTTTATTACTGATTCGGCATAAAACAGGAATCTTCTCTGCAGGAGTAACTCATCATTTTAGACGAACGTCTCATGGTCCCCAGATCCATTCCGGGTGTAAAAGCAAATATCCATAAGGCCACCGGCGAGGGACAGCACTTGGTCGCTCAATTCTGCCCAATCATGATACAGTTACCAAGATTCAAAACATGTAGGAGGATAGAAGATTTGAGTTTTCATGGATTTTAAAAGCGATAAAATATTCTCGGGTAACCAGCCACGCCGATGAGAAGTCGAAGTCTGTTTCGGAGATCTTTCTTGCCTACATCATCACAGAATAACATTTATTTCGTTTCGGAGAACTTTCTCCATTATCACAGAATTTTAATAATTTTTTGATATTGAAGAAGTTGTATTTTTTGCTTGATTCATTTTTTTGCTTATTTAACAATTACTTTCAACTATCTAGCGAATATTATTGAGAGTCACGAATTTCAATATATATTTTTTTAATTGTTAGTGGGGTGGGACTAAGTCCCTTGTGCTGCGGCCACTTCTGGCCTATTGTACCAGCCCCAGATGATAGGTGAGGGTGATTGTGGAGCAATTAGTGGAATGAAGATTGGTAGGGGAAACCGAAGTACTCGGAGAAAAACTACCCCAGCGCCACTTTGTCCACCACAAATCCCACTTGACCAGACCCGGGATCGAACCCGGGCCGCTGCGGTGGAAAGCCAGCGATTAACTGCTTGAGTTGTGGCGCGGCCCAATTTCAATAAGGAAATTGTAGACGGTTATTCATGGGGTCATCACGATATTTTGAGGGAGGAACTGAGGAAAACTACGGACAGCCTCCGTCAATCTCCAGGAGCCGTATCTTCCACCGCGAATCCCACGAGAAGCTACAAGAGATTGAACGTGAACTTCGGTGATAAAAATCTAGCCTCTAACCGTTTGAGATATGGCACTGACAGAATTGTAGATTATTTTCCATGTGTTGTTATTGTCTGTAAATATTTTATTGCTTAAGTATTCGGCCCAGTGGCCAATTCCACGGCTATTATTTCTAGTATTGTAAGTGACCTTATGGCGTTCC